GCATGGAGCACAGAAGGATACCTGTTCCCAGCCATTTTTCAATGAGAGCCCATATGAAAATCTAAAATCTTTAATTCTCTAAAAGCTACTCAAAATAGGACTATAACATTTAAAAACTAGAATAACCCTTATATACATAATATTATCTACTAAGGAAACACTTTTCTCATTTAAACATTTAATATAAATACATCCCTCATGTAGGCTGTTATTTTTTAAGTTTAATTATAATAAGTGATATCAGGGGCTCTGGTTTTTCTAAACAATTTTAATTATGAGTCAAAAACCTACAGTTTCAGATAGTTGATGGTCCCTTTTAAAAAGATGTAAAAATAACACCCACCTTGGAGGAAACTTAAATTTTCTTTCATAACTAACATTTACTGAGTACTAGTCGGCCCAGGAACTATTCTTAACATTTACAGACACTGGCTCATATAATCATTAGAGCAATCCTAGGGAGAAAGGCTTTATTATTAACATTTATTTTACAGGAAAAGACAGGCACAGCAAGCTGATCTGTCCAAGTTGATAGGACTAACAGTATTAACCAGGATTGGAACTAGGCAGGAGGCCTAGAGGCTGCACTCTAACTACTATGTAAACAACTACTGCCTTGCCAAGACATTTCTAATTGCTACCTAGAAAGAAAAAAAATTCCTTTTCAAAAATTCCAATCACTTTACCTTTTACCTTATCTTCAAAAAAACACCAAAATAAGGTACACGTGCTCTAAGAAATTTTAAACGCAGATGACGGTCTCCGTCAAACGAGGATGACTCTACAAAAAGTGATTTTAAAGGATACTAATACTGCCTTAATAAATTTCAACGATAACTAAAAGTGTTTTAAAACAGATGGCACCCACTGTTCTAGAAAAAATATGTAGACACAATATAAAAAAAAGTTACTCATGTGGTTCTTATATACATACGCTAAGGCCAACACATAACACCTTGTGCCACTGACGCTACTGACAAATAAGGAAAGCGCTTCACTATCTCTCACTCTTCCCACTTCTGGAAGCAAGGTGGCATATCTTGGAAGAATAAAAACTGGCTTCCATCTTTTAAAAAGGTATCTTATCTAATATATTTTTAATGAAGCCCATAGAATTTTAATCCAATGTGATGAACAAGAATAGATCAGTCTATGTTAAAATGAAAGACAATAATGAGGAAAGAAGGGAGAGTCAGACAGAAATCGAGTGTCACAGAGATGAGCAAGGGAAGGAATAAGGGACAATGAGGCAAAGAAAGACAAAGAAACAAAAGAGACAGATGAAGAGAGAAACAGAGAACTAAAAATGAGGAGCTGACAGAGGCAGAGCAGTAGAGAATGAGATTGAGACATCATGAGGCAGAGGGGTAGGGCGAGAGAATCAGAGGCAGAGCAGTAGAGAAATGAGATTGAGACATGAGCAAGGGGGGTAGGGCGAGAGAATCAGAGGCAGAGACACAGGAGAGATACAGAGATCGAAGGTTCCTCAATAGAGAAGGGAAGAGAGAGGAGTCACACTCTTCCCTGTCCCCTCCCACTCCTAATCCATCTTCCCATCCCACGGAATAAAAAAAAAATCAAATCAAACATTTATTCATCCAAACTCCGATTACAAAATCACATCCATTCTGC